ACAAAAATTAGCCGGGTGTGGTAGCATGTGCCTGTAATCCCAGCTACTTGGGAGACTAAGGCAGAAGAATCACTTGAGCCTGGGAGGCAGAGGAGGTTGTAGCACGCCGAGATTGTGCCATCGCCCTCCAGTCGGGGTGACAGAGCAAGACTCTGTCTCGAAGAAAAAAAAAAACAAAAGAAAAAAAAGAAGTGGTTCCATAAGATTATAAAACAGTTTGGCACTACTCATTAAAAAAAAAATACACACTGTATTTTTACTGTACCCTTTCTATGTCTGGCTACATTTAGATACACAAAGACCCTGTGTTACAAATGCCTACAGTATTCAGTACAGTACATGCTGTACAGGTTTTCAGCAATAGGCTGGACCACATAGTCTAACGGTGTAATAGGCTATACCATCTAGATTTGTCTAAGTATACTGTTAGGAAGTTCAAACAACAAAATCGCATAATGACATATTTCTCAGAACGTTATCTCTATTGTTAGGTGATGCACAATTGTGTGACAACTTGTGAAACCATTTAGTAAATAATGGCATATGTACATAACAGACTACTATATAGCTATTTAAAAAAATATCTACTAGGTGTGTTATAGATAGTAATATGCTTACTCAGGTACAAACAGGATATTAAAGTTTATATGGAACTAAGCAACCTCTCAAAAAAAACTCTATGCCTATTGAACAAAAGAAAGACTGGATGGAAATATAGACCACAAGTGCATATATCAAAACAATACATTGTACACCATAAATATATAGTTTTTACTTCTCAGTTGTACCTGAGGGAAAATAAATAAATAGGAAAAAAAGAGACATATATCTGAAATTATTAACTACCAAACAGGACTTTGAGAATTTTTTCCCTTCCTTTTATTTCCCCAGAATAAATATTCTTTCTTTTATAAATGAAAGGTATTACTTATGAAATCATAGATATGTTTTTTTTTTTTCTTCCAGAAGGGAACATTTTCACTGTAATCACTCTGAAATAACCTTTTAAGTTTTTTCTCATGGACTCTTTTCCTGACATTGTATACTTTCTGAAGTATTCATATTCGAATTTCTCAAATCTACTTTCAGTAATTCTATGACAACAAATGTATTTGTTTTTAGATTTAAATAAAAAAGGAAAACTTACTCCAGATTTTACTCAAAGTCTCAGCGGGTTTGGTAAACTGAATAATATTACATTCCTTGATAAGTTTAGTTATCAGTGTAAGAAAATTAAACAGAAGGCGATCTGCAGCTTTTTCTTCAGTTTCCTCCATGATCTAAAAACAAGACAGATGTAAATCAATATAAACAACAATCTGAAAGTATCTGATGGACATTTTTACTCCAGCATGGTAATCCACCCGTTTCGGAACCTCTCTTGGCACTCCTGACATTGTGGGCCAGATGATCCTTTGCTGTGGGGGCTGCCATGGGCACTGTAGGATGTTACCAGCATCCCAGCTCCTCTATGTTCTAGACGCCAGTAGCAACTCCACCCTCCAGTTGTGACAATCAAAAATGTTTCCAGACATTGCCAAATGTCACCTGGGGGGGCCAAATTGCCCGAGTTGAGAACCTTTGATCTTCATATACCATGAAGATACTTTAATTCTAATCTCCCAACGGCCTCCCCCCCCGCTTTTTTTTTTTTGAGTCAGGGTCTTGCTCTGTTAGCCAGGCTGGATTATAGTGGCACGGTCCTCCTGCCTCATGCCTCCTACAGGCATGCGCTACCATGCCTGGCTATAGCGCTCATTTAAGTTCCAACTACACTGAATTTTTGCTTTTAGGATAAAAGGCACTGTTTGAACCAAATATTTAATCAGTTAGCTATAAATATAAATATTTAACCTATAAGCTAATATCTAATCTGTTAGCTACATCACCACAAGTAAAACTCTAAGTTAGAAAAGTTGTATTCCCTAGCAAATTACTTACATTTTTAAAGTTTTCAGGATCAATTTCCTTTTCAATCACAGGAAGGACCGTTCCAAGTCTTTTCTCAAAATCAACTCCTTCACTTTCCACAAACAAGCCACAGATTAGGGCAGCAAGCTGTCTATTTAAGCGCTACCAAAAATAAACCACAAGACAATGTCAAGAGAACTTGGGAGGCCTTTTCTGAAACTGTAAAACAAAGGTGGGTATTATTTTGTCCTCAACATTCAGAGACAATAAACATTTCTTTCTGATGCCAGAAATCAGTAAATTATGAGGCTTTGATGGCCAATATACAAAATGTGGGGAAATTTTTACACTCAAGAATAACGTTTTAAAAAGAGGCATTATTATTATCCACTGAGTACTTTAATATATTTTTTTCCATTTTAAATGAAAAGGAAATGCAAAGAAGTCTCATGCCCACCCCACATTAAGTGGGTACGCAACAAGTTACTCATTAACACAGGGCATGTGTTGTTTATGTTTCACAAAGATGGGCCAACAATGATGGTGGGAGAGGTACCAAGTGGATAAAAGGATGAAAATTACATTTCAGAAATCGAATATGTAAAATTGGAAACAAAGGTATTCATCATTAGGAGCTGGTTAAGTAATTTATGATACATTCATGTAGCGGAATACTTTCCTAACAATAACATAGTATGAATACAGGTGATTTTTATATTACTTTCTATAACTTCTTACACTTTGGGAAACTTTAAGAATATACTATTTGCATAATCAGACAAAAATAACACTATGTGGAGAAAAAAACCAATTCAACAGTGTATAACATATATTCTTACTTAAACTATGATCCCCAAAGCTAATACTTGTCACTGAACTGTGACTAACAGCAATGCATACCTTTTTTGCTCCAAACCAAGTGGTAACCATATCAAACAGCCAGTCTTTTTTCTCGAGGCTGATTTTACCAAGTAGGGACTTGATGGTCATGGATGCCATCTTTTTGCATGTGGCAGAGTCATCATTGATCGTCATTAGACAAAGAGGGATAAAGAACATTCCACAGTTCTCATGGAGCAGCCCCTAAAAGAAAAGAGGCACGTGTGAGCACTCAGAACGGAATTCCTACAGATGCTCTAGCAAAGGGGGACTGAGGACTTCCGGGGGTCACGGGGCTTATCTCTGGGGTCACAGTACCTGAGGGAACGTGTCAAAGAGATAGGCGATCATTTCCAAGGTGGACTCTCTCCCGGTCTCGTGTTCGTAACTAGAGGAAGGACATTAGGTGGATTTGTTAGTATCTTCTAAATTTACCAATAATTATTAAAAAATGTAAAATGTTGTATCAAGGTGTCAGTTTAATTCTTTAAAAAATGGAAAATGTTCTGTTTCCCTACTTTTAATGCTTGTATATATCCATTAAGCTACCATTGTGCAGTTTTAAATGCAATTGTGTCAGATTTCAACATTCTCCTAAGTGGACTCTTAGGACAATCAACAGTTAAACTAGGTTGAAAAGCAACTCAGAGAAAGGCTATATGAAGCCAAGCACAATGTCTGATTATCAAGTTAATGAGTCACATAACAATATGCTCAGAGAATGCACCATTATGCTTAGGCCTCGTCCTTTTTAAGACAGCCGCCATGTTAAAGGGAAAGAAGAAACTGCCCTCCGCCCGTTGTAGTTAACAGCTAAGCTTACTTCAGTTGAGCGAGCATGAATTCCAAGTTTGGTCTCAGTTTGTCACCCAGGGGATAGTCAAGAATATATTTCAGAAAAACCTGGAACAAAAGTCACACAGATGATTATTTGGATCTCGTCTCCAGTATTCCTGTTTCCTAAGCTGCTTTCTGGAACTCACTGGTAGGTTATAAAAACTTTCAAGAATGGCAATCATTCAGGCTTTCCAATGGACTCCAGCTAAATCTGCCTATAAAGTCAATAGCAACTGTGACCTTTCGTTTCTCCCACCATTTATCTAGTCCTGCCCTATGGTGCCTGACAGAGGCAAGCCCTGGTCCGCCACTGGCACTGTGGTTTAAGACTTCAAATCTAAGCCCACAGGTTGGAAGCTGATCTCTCTGTGACAGGTGGTGACAGGTGTGCCACAGTATGGACTGTGGTCCAACCTGGTATCTCCCCTTCAACAAGAGTAACAACATGGTGATAATATCAATACTGATAATGCATTTACTATAAACCCTCTATGTGCCAAGCACTGCGTTAAGTGTCTCTCAGTTAAATCTCATCATTCCCATAGGAAGTACGTGATAATAGCCCACTTTCTAGTTGAAGGGAATAAAGTTGGTCCAGAGACAATAAGAAACTTGCTCAGGTGACACTGCCAGAATTCCATGCCTAGTCTGTGTCCAAAGGCTGCACTTTCAAACCACTGTAGTATCTAGCCTCCTTTATTAATAAACTGTGAGAACTAAGCGACTTCATTCAAGTTTCCAAAGCCTGCCTTTCCCTAGCCATAAAATGGGGATACTGTTTCTTCTGAAGGGTACTTGTAAACAGAGGTCATGCATTTAAAATGCTAGGCACACAGCTAGTGCTTAATAGCAGCTGACCCTTCTTCTTCCTAATAGTAGCCAAGCAATTATTTCCAGAAACATGCGTCTTCCCTTCCTGGCCTCCTCAGCAGCCCAAACCCACCTGCAACCCTGAGTTCCTATTTCCAACTTAGACCTTTCCACCTCCTTGGGCACAGTATGTGCTCATAAAATTAGATATTGACAGATGTATAGATACAAACCTGATCCTGTCACTCCTCTCCCTAAGGATTTAAATAGCTCCTAACTATTCTTAGAAAAAGCCCTGCCGGGCGCCGTGGCTGACGCCTATAATCCCAGCACTTTGGGAGGCCAAGGTGGGTGGATCACGAGGTCAAGAGATCGAGACCACCCTGGTCAACTTGGTGAAACTTCATCTCTACTAAAAATACAAAAATTAGCTGGGCATGGTGGCGGGCGCCTGTAGTCCCAGCTACTCGGGAGGCTGAGCCAGGAGAATCGCTTGAAAATGGGAGGCGGAGGTGGCAGTGAGCCGAGATCGTACCACTGCACTCCAGCCTGGCGACAGAGCGAGACTCCGTCTCAAAAAAAAAAAAACAAAAAAACAAAGCCCCAAATCTTTAACAAGACCACAAGGGCCTGCCCAACCTGGCTCCCCACCCCTCAATTCACTTACCTGTGTTGAGCTCCTCAACCCAGCTAAGCTCTCACTCACCTCAAGCCTCTACTGCCCTCTCACCGGTAAAACTAAGCCTTTTTCTTCCTTCACATTTTGGCCGGCCTGTCAGTCCCCAGAAAAGCCTCCCCTGACCTCCTGCACCAGGACGCCCGAGTCTCAGCATAAAGCACCAACACGACACAAAGTAGTCTTCAGAATTCAGCCAATGTTGACACCTCTGTCAGACAGACACAGCAGGGCCCAGCCCTTGCTATGGGGATAAGTGCTCTCTACAAACCTGTCTGCACTGGACCCTGGCAGGTTCACTTTGTGCAGAGACTGCCAACTTGGATACTTTCCGCATGACATCATCGATTTCTGGGACCAACAGCTTCCTTGATAAAATTGCCTAAGACACAAAAGACACACTCATTTCATGTGTTCTGCTGCAGACGGATGGAAGCAGAGTTGATGCTAAAGCAATCACAGGAAATTTTCAAACATAGTAAAGTAACTTCAAAAGAAAAAGGATACACACTTAAGCACAAAGAACACACAACACTTAAACGCACACTTCAAATTGGTAAAAATTGTGAATTTTTAAAAATGGTGAGTTTTATGTTATGTACATTTTACTACACTAAGAAGAAAAACGTATAAATAAAAAGATAATACCTGTATTTGTACAGAATTCCCTGGAAATGTTAATACACACCTCACATTTAAACATTTTTCATCAGCAAATGTTTGCCTGTAATTGACCCACCAAAATCATAATAATCTTTACAAATTACTCAATTTCAGAGGTCTACGGCTAGTCAAAACACTATGATCCATGTGTTCAAAATACCTGCTGTGAAGCTCATAAACTGTAACAGTCAACATTCTGGTGACACCATACCTTCAGAAGACCAAAGGCAGTGGCTTGTCTTGAAGTATCATAAATGTCCTCCTCAGCATAGGCCAGTAGAACTTGGAGCTGTTTTTCAGTTATCTGGTAAGACTTGACTTTCTTGACAAGTATGGTCACACACTGCGAGTTACAATAGTGATGTTAACAGCCAGCACATCCCACAGTTGGGATCCAGTGAAATGACAAAGACTTAACACAACACACAAGTATGCTTTTCCACACAGGATGCCAGCCCTCTAGCCTTGGCAAATTGCTCTGGAAAAAATTCTGGCCATAACCACGAAGGGCAATGGGGAAAACTAACTTTGATGTTAATCCTGGTTCTAGTTTTTTATGAGCCAGGGTCTCGCTCTGTCACCCAGGCTGGAGTGCAGTGATGTGATCATAGCCCACTGCAGCTCTAACTCCTGTCAAGTGATTGTCCTGCCTCAGCATCCCAAGTAGCTGGGACTACAGGTAGACATCACCATGCCCAGTTAATTTTTTTTTTTAATGTAGAGACAGGGTCTCGTTAAGCTGACCAAGCTGGTCTTGAACTCTTAGGCCCAAGCAGTCCTCCCACCTCAGCCTCCCAAAGTGCGGGGATTATAGGTGTAAGCCACTGCGTCCGGCTCCATCCGGGCTTTTTCCAAGTGCAAGTGAAGACATCTCACCTTGAAACAATTGACCACCAGGTGGAAGTTCTGGCCCCTGGCAGCCCCGAGCTTTGCATAGTCCTTCAGCAGAAGGAAGAGGTGTTTTGTCAGCTGCTCTGCTTTTGTTTCTATGGAAGGTAGCGGGAACCTCAAGAGCCAGATGAGGCATTGTAGAGCACCCGTGATCACCTGAAAAAACACAAAACAAAACACCACCAACCTGTGATGTGACCGAATCCAACAATCCAGCACCTGAGGCTATGCAGACTCTTTAAATGATTGTGCTGAATAAATAAGAGGCTAAACCCAGCCCACTCTGGAAGAACTGTGCCCAAAACGTAAGAAGACAAAGACATTTCCATTTCCTGATTGTAGAAGAATTTATTGCTTATCCATAACAATGGATCCTTATGATGGTAGATCATAAGGAAATAAGAAAAGGCACCATATTCTTTTCATAATTTAATCTTTGTTTAAACATTTTTGGGCTGGTCTTGAACTCCTGGGCTGAAGTAATCCTCCTGCCTCAGCCTCCCAAGAGCTGGGGTCATAGGCCCAAGCCACCAAGCCCGGCCATATTTTTAACCTACTGATAGGGCTTTATGGAGGTTATATGATTTGGATAGGTTGGTCAATTTTACAATTCTTTTTGGAAAAATACATCTTAAATGACTTTTATGTTTTCTAGAATGGTACTTCAATGTAATCTGCTCTTACTAAGCTTGAATTAGGTATACAAGGCACTCTACTGGGTATCATAAATACAAAGATAAAAAGGATACTATCTCTGGAACAACTGACTAACAGTTCATATAGTTAAGTGCTATTACAAAAGATATGGAAAGAGTGTGCTGAGCTCCCTGAACCTCCAAGGCCAAACCTTTGAAAGCACCTGGATCAGCTAGTTCAGCTCTATCTAATAATACTTGTACTGCTCTGGCTGCTGAGAGTTCCTCAGTGGACTGGATTAAGACACAGAAGAGCGAGCTTGGGAGTCAGAAAGACGTTGGCATACATCCCAGCTCTGCAACTGATGACCTGTTTGACTCTAGAGATGTTACTTAACCTCTCGGCAGGTTCATCTGTAAAGCAGGTGATATGAGAAAAATGGGACCTGTGTAGGCATTGGAGTCTGACAGACCTAGGTTCATAGCCTAGACCTGTACTTAGACCCTCGCCCTAATTTTCTCATTTATAAAACAGAAATAGTAAGAATATATGCCTCAGGGTGGGTTGTGAGGATCAGAAACAATGTTCTTTGGATTCACAGCATGGAGCAGTCATAGTAACAAAGGTGACAATGATGATGACTGGTAAGGGGACAAAATCCTTCACCCTCATGAAGTTGTGAGGATCAAATGAAATACTTAATGTACCTAGGAGGGCTTTTAAAACTGTTAAAAGTCTATCCAAATTTATAGAATTAGTAAATTGGAAAGTGATTTAAAGTAGCAAATAGTGGTGGTTCATGATGTCATAAATCCCTTTAAAAACTCAATCATCTCGGCCAGGCACAGTGGTTCACGCCTGTAATCCCGGCATTTTAGGAGGCCGAGGTGGGCGGATCATCTGAGGTCAGGGGTTCGAGACCAGTCTGGCCAACATGATGAAACCCTGTGTCTACTAAAAATACAAAAGTTAGCCGGGCATGGTGATGTGCGCCTGTAGTCCCCGCTACTTGGGAGGCTGAGGCGAGGCTGAGGCAGAAGAATCCCTTGAACCTGGGAGGTGGAGGTTGCAATGAGTCAAGATCACACCATTGCACTCCAGCCTGGGTGACAGAGCTAGACTCTGTCTCAAAAAAAAAAAAAAAAAAACCCACCAACCAACCAAACAAAAAAACCTCAATCATCTCATAAAGCTTGAGCCCAAGCATAACCATTAGGCATTCTGCAAAACATAGTTCCTCTGAAGAAGAAAATGCTCCAGTGCAGAGTGCAAACCGATGCTTACCTTCACATCCATGGAGCCCAGGCAGTCTATGAGGAGAGACACAAAAGGATCCAGCATTTCCAGGACATGCTCACTTGAAGACTTGATCTTGGAAGTCTTCAGACTCAGATGCAGCAGCTAACAGAGTTCAGAAAGATATTTCACATTAGTTGCCCATTAGACCAGATGAGTTAGGTAAATGTGAAATGATGTTTATAGAAAAGCAAATGTTAAGATACTTCTATTTGAAATGATAAAATTTTTTTAAGGAATGACAGACTGCCTGAGAGGGTCTCAGTAAGTCAAGGTGAGAGCTTGCTGTGCAGCTGAGATGCTACGTCTGTTTACCAGAGCCCATTTTCTCAGGATCTACTGTGATTCCAGGCACTGGCTCAGTACGCAGGACATGGCAATAACCAGGATGGACATGGTCTCTGCCTTGATGGATCTTAGGCAGACTCTAAGGAAATGATGACATGTACAGGTAGGGTGCTTTGAGAGTTCTGTGGGAATCTGGTAGAGCAAAGAGTGGGTGGTGAGCTCCTAGGGCAGGAAAGAGTATGGTGACTTTCTAGATGGGAAGGGAAGCCACGGTGGCTGGAACGTGTGTTAGAAAAGTGCGAGTCAATGAAGGGTTTTAAAAAGAAAATGATCAGATGTATTCTTTTAAAAGCTCACCATCTTTTATTTCATTATTATTACTGTTATTTTTTTAGAGACAGGGTCTCACTATATTATCCATGCTGGAGTGCAGTGGTGCGATAATAGCTCACTGCAGCCTCAAACTCCCGGGCTCAAGTGATTCTCCCACCTTACCCTCCTGAGTAACTAGGACTACAGGTACATGTCATCACACCTGGCTAATTAAAACATAATTTTTTTTTTTTTTTTGTAGAGACAGAGTCTTGCTATGTTGCCCAGGCTGGTTTCAGACTCCTCTCCTCAAGTGATCCTCCTGCCTTAGCCTCCCGAAGTGCTGGGATTATGGGTGTGAGTCACCATGTCCGGCCACTCACCATCTTTTAAAAAAAATTCAAAGTAGTTCAGAGGGGCTCATGGGCAAAGCACCAGTAAGACCTTAATACATATTAGAGCAGAATCATTAATTCTGGGACAGTTACATCTTTTAATGTAAGTGCTGGAAGAGATAAATAGTAAATGGACCAATGCACCTGTAAAAATAAAAAAATCTAAAATGTATTTACAGTAAGGCATTTCCAATGGAAGTGAGCAGTACTAGAAACTCAACAGAAGGGCAGGCACGGTGGCTCACACCTGTAATCCCAGCACTTTGGGAGGCCGAGGCAGGTGGATCACCTGAGGTCGGGAGTTCAAGACCAGACTGACCAACATGGAGAAACCCCGTCTCTACTAAAAATACAAAATTAGCTGGGGTGGTGGCGCATGCCTGTAATCCCAGCTACTCGGGA